GTTACATAATTGACCTGGCAAGAATCTCTCCAAATGGTTTTATGCTCTAGCAATTATAGAAAAATGAAAATTTATAAATGTGCATAAGGCATGTATCTGTGCTCTAATTGAAGCTGCCTCAAATCCATTTTTCAGAATAAAAGAGAAATAAACAAGGAAAAAGCTTGTGCGACATTTGTCTCCTGTCCATCATTTTTTCTTTTGATTTAATTTTATTTTTTCAACATGTAAAACAGGCAGATTTCCAAAGTCAAAATCTGATAATAAGGTGTGTTCAGAGAAGTCTTTCTCCCACCCTTTTCCACCTTGTTCCTTTCCTTCTCTCACAGATAAAAATTTAATTAATTCTTGGCCTATCTTTCCAGCGTGCCTTTTCATAAGCAAATTCACAGGCACACACACACACTCATATTTATATTTCTCTCCCTTTTTGCCCCAAAAATAGCATACCATTTTACAGTTTGGCACCTTGCTTTTTTCACTTAAAATAGTCTGTGGATCATTCCATATCAGTACATAGAAATATTCCCCATTTCTTTTTACAGCACACATTTTGAAGCATCTGTGTGGTCCCTTTAAAAGTATTATTAAAGAAGTCAGTAAAAGTGAGAACCATAACTCTTGGCAGAATTTAACTAGCTAGTTCTAGTTTATCTACAACAAGTGACAGTTTCAGGATCACTTAGCCATTCCACTCACCTTCTACCTCCACTGTGGGCAAGTGCTAAAAGTACAGAAACCGACTTTAATAATCAGCACAGGCATATTATTCAAAGGTTTTAGGCTGGAATGACCCAGAGATGGTCAGAGTAGAACCTACAATTTGGGGCAAGGAAACAACTTCTCTTTTTGCTCTCTGGAAACTGGCATCTGGGCAGAAATCATGACTTCATTAGTAGGATGATGTTTATATGAACACAATTCATTAGGCTAATATTGGAGACTTCCCCTCAGCACATGCCCCATGAACCATGGAGTAAATTGCTCTAGGCCCAAATGTAGAACCGTAAGGCTTAAATTTATATCCCATTTACTCTCTAAGAGGGAGACTTATGACTCATTTTAAAACTAGACACCAATCTCCAAGACTAAGTCTTCCATCAAAACCATCTGTTAAATAAGTTGGTTATACGAAATACCTGATATTATGCGTAACCAATATAGATGACCCTGTAAGGTCAAGTTTACACAAATCTACATGGCATTTGCTTCCAAACCACGTTTGTTTCTGCAACCCCAATCTGATGTCATTGTGCTCCACAAGTCACGGAGGTCTGAGTTACAGAGTTCTAGAACTGGATAATCTTAAACCTTATGTTTTATTCTGCCTTTTGCAGCGTATATTCCTTGAGGTCACTTGAATCTATTCATTTAAGACCAATCTCAGAAAAAAAAGGTTAATCGGACATATATACAACTTTAAGTCTTTTTGCATTGCTCCTTCAAAAAATTGGCGTTATAATAATTTTAGGCACCAAAATGATACTGCTGGTCATTAATGAAATTGTTTTGCAAAAAGTAACTTTTTCTAGGCTCTGAAATCAAGGCTACCTTGCACTACCCATAAAAGTTTTGTAAATATTTTTTAAAACTCTTTTTCTTTTTATAAACTGGTATATGTCAATTGTGTTAAGTACAGAAAAGTATAAAAGGAAAGGAATAATTGCCCATATTCATACCACACAGCTATAACTAACTACTGTTAATAGTTGAGCATATTTTGTTCCAGCATTTTTCCTACACATACTTTTTTTTTTTACACTGCTGAGTGTAGAGTCTATAAATCTTGTAATGATCTTTGACCAAAAGCAATCAAATCTGAGACTTTACAAATAAAAGAAAAATCTGTACCTTCCGAAAGATAACACCCTCTGAATCTAATTTTAATGGTTTTGGGACCTCGTCTTGGCTTCTGGGTAACTTACAAAACTTCCTACTTATTATCATCACTTATATTCTGGAATGGTCTTTTCAAACTATTGACTACATCAGTATGACAATGTTTATATGAACACAATTAAATAGGCTAGAATTGGAGACTTCCCCTCACCACATTCCCCATGTGGCATGGAGCAAAATTGCTTTAGGCCCAGATATAGAACAATAAGGCTAAGATTTATATCTAGTCTACTCTATAGTGGGAGGCTTATGATTCATTTCAAAAACTGGACACCTATCACCAATGGTTTGGAGTTTAAAAAGAGAGAGAGGTTGGGTGTGGTGGCTCATGCCTGTAATCCCAGTATTTTGGGAGGCCAACGTGGGAGGATTGCTTGAGGCCAGGAGGTCGAGACCAGCCTGGGCAACACAGTGAGACTTCCGCCCATCTCTACAAAAATTTTTTATACAGAATTAGCCAGGCATGGTGGCTCCTGTAATCCCAG